AAGGGTTGCTTTTGCCCTAATCGGGGCTTTTTCTTTTTATTTATTTATTTTTTAGCAGGTTGGAGTGGTGAGGGGGTCTCCTGATTGGTGCTCAGGAGGCCCCTTTAGACAAATTTCAGCCAACTGGACTGCAGTTCATTGTGAACTGCATGCAGTGCTGCTCTATCCCTGAAGTGCAACGATTACTCTGGTCACCTCAGTGATGTTTGAGAATCTCAGAGCGTTGCTTGACAATGGGTGCAGGAGGTGGATTAGAGTTGGCTATTTGGACAGCTTGTGCCTCACACTATTATCTCTCCAGACCTTGAATATTTTTTCCTCTTAAAATTAATTTTTTCTGAAGCCAGAGAGACAGTACAGGGGTTAAGGCACTTGTCTTGCAGGCAGCCAACCCTGGTTAGATCTGTGGCACTGCAGATGGTACCCTGAACATTCCAGGAGTAACCCCTGAGCACCACTCGGTATGGTCAAACCCCACAGATTTGGATAAAATGAATATAACTTTCTAATGCTACTGCCAATTTTACTGCAGCATAATACTTCATCTTGCTTTTAGAATATTTGATTTCATGATCAAACGTTATGAAAAATTAACTACACGCTAATCTTCTCAGGTATTCAGGGAATAACTTGCAGTTTGGGAATTCTATCTGAACACAGTTTAAAAACGTTAGCTGATAGTTTTGACACTATTTTAAGAATTCATTTCTATTGAGGTTGTTGTTATTTTAAAGAGGGTGAGTGCTTATAAATTTTAGGACTACAATGTAGAAATACACAGATATACCCCAATGTGTCAGTTAGGGTGTATGTGTATATGCCTAATTGCTAAGGTTAGAAATTACAAATCTTATGTGCCGTAATAGTGTGAGTGGATATATTCATTTTATGGCTGTTCTTACAGGAAAACTGAACTTTTTGTCATTGAGCATAATTGCTATTGTCTTTTCTTTCATGTTGACTTTACTATGTTGATGTAAGTTGATATGTCGACCTTGTTGAAAGGATTTTATTTTCTTTTGTTGGGGGAGGGGGTCACATCCACCAGCGTTCAGTAGTCACACCTAGCATGCTTAGGGGACTATGTGGGGTTTATGGTATCAATCCCAAATGTTACTGGATGCAATACAAACATCATACTCATTGTACCAAGGCTTAGCCCCTGTTGAAAGTATATTTCAATCATTTGTGTGTCAATAAGTTTTGTGTGTCAATAAGTATTGTCAATAAGTTTCACTATACAATTTATATTTCCATATTATTTTCTTTCATTATGTTAATGTAGTATGTCACATTAATTTATTGTGTGTTGAAGCATTCAGTATTCAGTAGCTGAATGGGGTACTCGGAGTTCCCATGCATCAAATTTGAGTGGCCCTGAATGACAAGCAACAATGTAGTCACAAGTACTGTTGTGGCATACTGGTGCCCAAGTCAGGAGACCAGGCAGTGCCTTAAGTAGAAGATTGCCTTAAGTAAAAGATTGTGAGTTCTGGGCTACCTTTGCAATGAACTCTAGGTGATGGGGCAATCCAGGGCACAGATGTGTGCTGGCTTTGAGCAGCTCTATTGGGTGATCAGTGTTGGTTACAAACCAGGTTTGAACAGACTTTGGGGCTTGGGGGGCAACTGGGATTTAAGATTGAGCATGGCCCAAGGAACTTACACAACAAAATCAACGAGTGGACAGGGGCTCTGAGTGACTGGAATCCGCAGTCCCCTGGTTTCTTTGTTCACATACGTAAACATGACTGCAGGGCTGATGCGAGGAAGAGGATTTCACAGGAGGTTGGGACCTCAGTCATAGAGAATATGTGGGATCACGACGGACAATGGCTCCCTCTGGCTAACAGGCCAGGCTCAGCTAGGAGGACTGTGACTACCTGCCCACAGTCAGAAAGACATTGAGAAGGGCCCGGTGAGTTTTATCTTCTAGGAATGGTCAATACAGATGTCTGTTATCCCCAGTGAGCTGGTCTGTTAGATTGGTGTACATGGAGGTCTGGAACTATGGAAACGCAATCCAGTATGGCATACTTAAGTCCTGTTGTCCGAAGTCAACAAAATGAACCTTGCTGGTGACTCAGATACCTGTTTATGTCCTGTAGGTTCTTACCTCCAGTTCCAGTGCTATAAGCATAGGACTGTAGGCTTTCCTTCACTGCCCCCCACCCACCAATTGCCCAGGGCAAGGTCCCACATACATCCCCAAAGTCTTGTTCTGGTCATAGCTTTTTGGGCTCCGCTAGGGTTGAATCTTGGCATGTCTGTCCCTCTGTCTTTAAACTGTGTGGGTGCTCTCTGTCCCTGTGCCGTGGAGGCCTGATGGAGGGCTATGGTTTATGCCTGAGTAGATCCGTCCAAGTAGATTAAGATATAGATTTCCCCACAATCACGGAGGATGCAGACAAAGGTCCTCCATCATCAGACATCTTGGTCCCTCCCTCAACTCCTTTATCAAGGACTGACTTGGCAGAGGTGCACTGTTACTCTGACAATATCTGGGATGTATCTTGAGAAGCATGAGGTAATAGCAATGCTGTGGTTTCATTCCTTGATACAATTACACTTGTAAACAAATTGCTTTCTGCTATCAGGGATTTCCAATTAATAGGCAGAGATTGCTCCTGAGTTGCAGGACAATTGGATAGAAATGCTGAAAGGTCAGGCAGTGTGGTAATATTCACATCACGCAAAAGAAATGGACATCTTGACTCTGAGCTCTTAACTCTCTTCTGAAATGGCTGAATTCTTAAGTAGCAAGAGTCAGTGGGTTTCACTTAAACTCATTAAAATGTGAAAGAAAATGTGCTTTTAAAAATTGTTTGGTTACTTGAACAGGAAACTTGAGCATGCAATTGTGACAAATTCGGATCATTGGAATCCATGAATGAAACATAGAGTGTTATCTGCAAGTGCCTCTTGTTCAATTTACATAGGGAATTCCTCGGTGTTGTCAAGGCTTATGTTAGATAATGTACAGACAGAAGGTGTAATTCTCAGGATTTCCATGGGTCGCCTCCTTCCCCAGTCTTACCTCTCAACACTTCTTTTGTATGTGTGCAAATATACCCACCCACACTCCCCTCTTTCCCTACATTCCATCCCCCACTCCCACCCTGCACACACAGTTGAATCATACTGAAGAAATTATATTCCCGGCATGATGCTCATACCTCGGTTATTGGCTCAGCCTTTTCCTGGGCTGCTTATACAACCTAAATGTCGACTGCCAGGAAAAGTGATGTTTACCTGATTTAATCCAAGCGATCATTCCAGACTGAACTCAGGTATTACAGCCTCTAGGAAGTAGTTTCACGGACCACAGCCTTTACTCGAAGGACATGAATCCTTCCAGTGCTTCTGCCTTCTGATTTAGTACTTCTCACTCTGTATTGTAATTATCTGTTTAGTCATCTATTTCTCCCCTGAGATGAAAGTCTGAGAGGAGATTATGTTTTACATCTTTATATCCCCTTTCAAAGCCATGAGTAGAAAAAATGGTACATGACACCTATTTTCTCCTCTCATTTTGACAATTTCATTTACTTCTATGATTCGGTTTCTCTCTATTTACTGAATCTAAATCTGCCAGCTGCAGCTCTCTCCTAAATTGTAGGCCCAAATGGCCGAAGCATGAGCTAGAAACCTCCATTTGGCTAGATGACAGGCTCTCCCACATCAGCAATCCCAAAAGAAGACTCATCTTTCTTTTTGAAATCCGAATTGAATCCTTCTCCTGCCCAGCTGTTGAGGCCAAAGAGTAAAAGGACTGACTCACTGGTGGCATTCTAAGGGGGCCGGAATGTTGAAGCCCTGATGCTCAAAACAACAGCCGAGTCATCTTGGACAATTTCTAGACTCCAAAGTCCTTCTCGATGAGGATGCTAGGATCATTCTTCTCACATGACTGTCATGAATGTGAGCACATGCAAAATGTAAAATTCTATTGAATCAAAATATTTGGGCATGGCATATATTTTAGTTCTAGTTAAGTTAAAATCTTGAATTTTTCATGGTTATTCTTTTATCCATACCTCTCCATATCTGTGTGTGTGTGTGTGTGTGTGTGTGTGTGTGTGTGTAAACCAGTTCTATCACTACATTTTACTATATCTCACTCATGCCATCTTCTTGAAAGTCAACACCATCTCTCTTATCTTAGTCTGAGTCATCTTCCAATTTACTCTTTGTACGCAAAGTGACTTTTTCAATCCCTTCCTCAGCCTGCAAGCTAAATGGCTTCAAAATGCACATCAACACTTGAGTAAGCTACTTAAATCTGTGACTTCCAAGTATAAAACATTTACCAAGTTCCAGAATATTCTTACTCTATGCCATTTGCTAGCAATTGTTCGAGTACTGCTATACTTTCTCCTCCCTTGTTTTTATAGAACACGGGACTTTTATCCACCAATCTGACCTGTTGGCTATCATATATGCTGTAATTTCTTAGAATGAATTTCTTCCTTTCTATAAAAACTCTCCTGACAACTGAGAGCTTTAACTTACCATAAAAACTCAGATACCTTATGTACTTATTTCATTTATATAATATAGTTTATAATATAGGACTCATTAAAATGAATTATTCATGAAGTAGGCTCATTATCTTTCTTATTTCCTTTGTATTGACAGTTTTTACTAGAACTGCATTTCTCAACCAACAGCCATTTGAACCTCTTATAGTCCTCCAGAATATCCCAAGGAGGAGACCGACGGTAGAAAAAGAGAATATTCAAGAACATGGAGTCACTATAAAAGTTATAACATACACAAAGTATGAATACCTGGAGAAGATAGATGGAAATGGGAGAAATATCTGAGACAATAATGATGGATTTTCCCACACACACACCCAATTATTGTCAGTTATCAACCCAGTAGTAAGAAATCCCAGAGAACACCAGTTAGTTTATTTCCTAAAAAACTACAACTTGGTAAAAAAAAAAAAAACTTGGTAAAAAAAACAACTTTTCAATTACAGAAAATAAAATATTGTGCTCGCTTTGGCAGCACATATGCTAAAATTGGAACAATACAGAAAAGATTAGCATGGCTCCTGCGCAAGGATGATACGCAAATTTTTGGTACATTTACACAATGGAGTACTATGTAGCTGTCAGAAAAGATGAAGTCATGAAATTTACATACAAGTGGTACTTCATGGAAAGTATCATGTTAAGTGAAATGAGTCAGAAAGAGCGGGATAGACACAGAAAGATTGCATTCATCTGGGCAACATAAAGTAACAAAATGGGAGACTAACACCCAGGAGTGGCCGAGACTAGTACCAGGAATTTTGCTCATGACTTGGAGGCCAGTCACACGTGCTAGGGGAAAAGGAAGCTCAGATAGAGAAGGGGGCACCAAATAAAGGGTATTGGGAGGATCCTCCCAGGATGGGAGAAGCATGCTGAAAGTAGACTATAGACCAAACATGACTGTCACCCATTGCCTCTTTTGCAAACCATGGCACCCAATAAGAGAGAACAAAAGGGAAAGAGGCAGGGTGGGATGGCGGGACAGGGGATGGGAGGGATGCTGGGACCCGTGGTGGTGGAGGATGGGCGCTGGTGGAGGGATGGGTACTTGATCATTGTATAACTGAAACCCAAGCACAAAAATTTGTAAGTCTATAACTGTACCTCATGGTGTTTCACTAATAAAAATAAAAATAAAGTAAATGCCAAACAAAAAAAAAGAAAATAAATATTAAAATATCTTCCATAGACTTTGAAGAAATAAGAACTTACCCACATAAAATATAATAATAACATATCAGAAATAGCGCTAACAAGGAGAGGGGTGAAATATTTAACCTATAGAGAAAAATCCTCACCAATTCAGGGATCTGTATCTATAAAACTATACTTTAGATGTGGGAAAATGTTTTATAGGGCAAACAAAAATTGAGGGAATTTCCTGCCAGTAGGCCTGCTGTGGGAAAAAAACTATTTTTTTCAGATGGTAGAGAGATAATAAAGGGGATGAAGCTTTTGTCTTGCATGTGACTGACCTCTGTTTGCTGCCTTTGTCAGTGCCATAGGATCTTGTAAACATCTCCAGGACCAACCCCTGAGCACTGCTGCTAAGAGTGGCCCAGAAACCAATTGTTGTTTACAGGTTAAAATAAATTATGGATAAAAGTAATATACTATACATTAAAAACATGGATATATACTAAGGGTCTAAAGGAAGGAATAACTGGATTGAAAAGAAAAAAGTTCTTAAAAACATTTTATTACTTTAGTTTTATCGATATTTATATTATATGAGTGCAAATATTTTTCACTTTAGAGATATAATGTTGTCGTACTCACTAAGTGCTAGTATTTCTCCACCATCATCCACTGAACCCTTTCAGTCCACTCCCCTCACCGTCATTGTAAGCTCAATTCTGTGCTCAAGGTTAAATTGCTTGATTTGGGTGAGACTTGATTTTCCTTTGTTCTGTTTCTTTGTATACCACGTATGAGAGATTTCACCCAGTATTTGTTTTCTCCTTCTGACTTTTCTCACCCATAATCACCTGCACTTGGTTCTATCCATACTGAACCAAAGGTGGGGTTCCCTTTTCTACATGTCTTCCCTGTCATTAGTTATTTCTGGCCCCCTTTTTTAGTACAGTTCATTTTTCATTAATGTGAGGTGATATAATTTTGATGCATCTTGATGCATATTAGTGATCATGAGCATTTTTTTCATGTAATGCCATTTATATGTCATTTTTTGAAAGGTGCTTTTTCAGCACTTTTCTACAGATTTGATCTTTTTTTTTATTCTGTTGCTGATTTCCATGGGGCCAGAGTGATAGCACCATGGGTAGAGTGTTTACCTTGCACACGGCTGACCAGGGTTCAATTCTTCCGCCCCTCTCAGAGAGCCCGATAAGCTACAGAGAGTATCTCACGCTCACAGCAAAGCCTGGCAAGCTACCTATGACATATTCAATATGCCAAAAACAGTAACAAGAAGTCTCACAATAGATACATTACTGGCACCCGCTCTAGCAAACTGATGAACGGTGGAAGGACAGTGCTACAGTGCTACTAGTCCATGTGATTTCCATGAGTTCTCTTGGATGAACATACATTTTTTTTGAACTTTGTCAAATGTATGATGTAAAATTTTTTTTCTGTTGCTGATTTCCATGAGTTCTCTTGAATGAACATGTATCTTGGATAAACTTTGTCAGATGTACGTTGTGAATATTTTCTTCCATTGACTAGGATGTTTTCAGTTTAGTGATGAATATATTCATTGGGCAGAAGCTTTAAGCTCAATGTTGTCCTACTTTTTTCTTTTGTTTCTCTTACCTGTTTAAATTGTTTAAACTGATAACTCTGAAACTACTATCATGAAGTGTTTGTCCTTTTTTCTTTTTTAATTATTTTATTGCATCATAGTGAAATACACAGTTACAAGGTTGTTCACGATTGGATTTCAGTTATATAAATCCTTTACTTAGTGTACATTTGCCACCACCAATGGACCTAGTTTTCCTCATGCCTAACCTCTTCCTTCCTCCCTCTTGCCCTGCCCTCTGCTTCTGCAGCAGCTACTTTTCTTCTCTCTCTCTCAATCCCTCCCTCTCTTTCTCTCTCCTTCTCCCTCCCTTTCTCTGCCCCCCTCCTTCCTTTCTCTTTCTCACTCTCTCTCTTTCTGGGCATAATGGTTTGCAATACAGATAGTGAAGGGTATAGTGAGTTAAAGACAAGCACCTATCCCTGCTGCTTTCTCTCAAGCCCATAATCTCAGCACACATTTCTAAACAACTGTGGCCAAAGAAGACATTTCAAAACAAAGTTGGAAATATTCTGAACTAAATGAAAATGAAAACATGATTTATTAAAAAGTATTGAATGTAGTGGGGTAAAAAGTGCTCAGAGATTTTAAAACAGCATCAAATGTCTATATTGAAAACAAGATGAAAAATAGAACATCAAAATTAAACATGCTCATACCCAATAATCAAGAAATCAAGTTTCTTTTTCAGTATTTAACAAAAGAGGTTACAATATATGTCCATAGAACTACTTACATACAGATATGCTTATTTATTTATAAGCATATTTATTTCATTTATATTTTTTTATTTATAACTGCCAGAACATGGAAGTGACAGAATGACTTTTAGTAGTTGGTTGGATGAATGAACTGGTACATCCTGATTAGTTGTATTACCCAAAGATAGCAAAATATCATTGGTATTTCAAGATATGAGAAGACATACATACATATTATTTTGGAAGAACAGTGCCTCCAAAGTTCTGCCTGGGGGCCCCCACCCAGGTCCTCTCCCCACAATAATTAGCTGAGTTTGCCAGCAGCTGTAGAGCAACAGGCCATAGAAAATACACAGTATACAGGAAGAGTCTGCATTGAATATCAAACTATATGATAATTGGGGAAAGACAAATCTATGGAGAACATTAAAAGTTAATTACTTGCCAGAGATGGTGAGGAATAGTTGCAAAGATGAATAGCCAGACCAATGTTCTATTTTTTTTAAAAGTACTGAAAATATCTTGTATGATATTACAAAGATCACTAGATGTTATGATATATTTTCCACATCATAGACTATTCAAAGCCACACGTGAATCTGAAAGTAAAATCACAGATTCAGCACAATTGACCTTATCCGCACGATAACCAAGCTAATTGAGGTTTCTCGGGAGTTCAAGATGCCGCTCTGTCCAACGTTCATTGATTTAAAGAAGGCCTTTGATTCTGTTGAGATGGAAGCGTCATTGAAGCCCTAGCCAATCAGGGCATTCAAACTCAATACATCAGGATCTTCCGTGAGCTGTATTACGGATTCACTATCAGGATCTCACCATTCTACAAAGAAGTGATCATTGATTTCAAGAGAGGGGTGCAGCAGGGTGGTACCATTTCACCAAAACTCTTCAATGCCACCCTCGGGAACATTATTTGACGACTGGAATGGGAAGCAATGGGAGTGAAGATAGATGGTCGGCAACTACACCACCTCTGCTTTGCTGATGACATCGTTCTAATACACCAAACATTAGTCAAGTGGCACAAATGCTGGCCGACTTTGACAGTGAGTGTGGAAAGGTCAGACTACAGCTGAATCTCACGAAGACAGTGTTTATGAGAAATGGCCTTGTTCCTGATGCTCCATTCGCTCTCAACGAAACACTCATCTCCAAATGCAACAGCTATGTGTACCTAGGTCGAGAAGTGAACATGACAAATGACCTGGCCCCTGAGTTGCGCAGGAGGAAGAGAGCGGCTTGGAATGCCTTCAAGAGTGTCGAAGAAATAGTTAAGAGGATGAAGAACCTCCAGCTCTGGGCACATCTCTTCGATTCCACTGTTCTTCCTGCATTAACATACACCACAGAGACCTGGGCTCAACGAAAACAGGATGAGAACACTATTCGGGTCTCCCAAAGAGGAATCGAAAGAGCTATGCTTAGAGGATCACGTTTCACTCAAATGAGAGAAAGAATCCGGAGTTCTGACCTCCAACGAAGATCAAGAATCAAGGACGCTCCAGGATATACAAAATACTGGTTAAACTCCACAAGAAGAAAACATCCAACCCCATCCAAAAATGGGGCAATGAAATGAACAAACTTTCTCAAAGAAGAAATCCGAATGGCAAAAAAAGCACATGAGAAAATGCTCTGCATCATTAATCATCAGGGAGATGCAGATCAAAACCACAATGAGATACCATCTCACACCTCAGAGACTGGCCCACATTCAAAAGAACAAAAGCAACCGATGCTGGCAAGGATGTGGCGAGAAAGGGACACTCCTTCACTGTTGGTGGGAATGTCGACTGGTTCAGCCCTTCTGGAAAACAGTATGGACGATTCTCAAAAAATTAGAAATTGAGCTCCCATTTGACCCAACAATACCACTCCTGGGAATATATCCCAGAGAGGCAAAAATGTATAGTCGAAGTGACATCTGCACTTGTTTGTTCATTGCAGCACTCTTTACAATAGCCAGAAACTGGAAGAAACCTGAATGCCCAAGAACAGATGACCGGTTAAAGAAACTTTGGTACATCTACACAATGGAATACTATGTAGCTGTTAGAAAAGATGAAGTCATGAAATTTACA